TGAGAGAAGGTTTGAGCTGCAGCTGGATCGCTGACTGTCCCCCTTCTGCTACTCCGACATTATGTTCAGTTAGTAAAATGTCAACAACAGATCATGACATTAAAAAGAGGCTTTTACCAAGCAAATGTTTGACAACCGCGCATAAGAATGACTTTAAATAACCTGGTGTATGAAACATCTTCTTTCAATTAATTAATCCACCAAGCACCGAACTGGTTCAGTGCTGTACTACACTGAAATGTTTATTAATAAACTCTGCATGAAGAGCCTGAACATGCTGGACCTAAGCTGACCAACATAAAAGAAACCATTGTCCCAGATGTCTTTGTGATGAGTCCAGACAAACACCTGTCAGGACGTGATTTGGTGGATTAGAGTAAATGTTCATTGCTGTGACGTTACTTACAAATAACTACATGATTAAAGCTTTGGATATAATACCTGACAGTTGTTGTCAGATGATACAAACGACAGGGAGAATAAACACTTCTTGGTTGTATTTACAGCTGGGCAGCTGTCACTCAAGAGGAGCTACGTAGCTTGGGTTAGCTAACCTGCTACAATGGCTAGCTCTTCAGCAGCTTGTTTTCTGGACTAGAAAGCAGCAGAACATGTAAACATGAGGGTCAACGATAGGTCACTCAGACACAACGTTACAGTCAGGAACATTTTTTGTGCAGCGGGTGTTTGTATTTCCACAGAGGCCTCAGCGGTCATCCCCGGCCTCTCGTCAGCACTCAGAGCTGGGGGATTCGCCTCTGAGCCGATGCTAAGCTAACAGCTAACATCAGACTGTACAAGCTGAAAACTCACCCGGAGGACGTGGTAGCCCTCGGAGCCTCCGCCCGGTATCTCCACACTCTGTGCGCCTCCCATGTCTCTCCTCTTGTAAGGCTTCTTAGGGTTTAATAACAGCTTGTTGCCCGGCAGAGGTGAGATGTCTGAGCACTTCCACACACCGGGTACACGTCGCCGAACGGGTTGCAGGGTGATGCGCATGCGCTGTTACGTGGCAGGAAATAACGCCTTTTTGCAATTTCTTGTTTATAGTCGGTGCCTTTGTATGTTTTAAAATAAAAAATCTCAAGGATTTATCTTAATCAATGTTATAAATCTTTATAAAGTGGTCTTTTTTTTAATAGAATTACTGTTGACACTGAAGTTATCCTACATCATTCAAACCCAAAGACTGTAATGAAATCCGAAATGTCATATCGATCAAACTACAAATTTATAAACGTATTCTAAACCTTAGACAGAATACGTGATATTATGATATGATATTATGATGTTTAAAATAAAAATAAAGCCAGTTTGTTGAATAAATATGTGGAAATATGTCAGTGAGAGACTGTTTTGTTTCGTGATGCTGTATTGTGATATGCTTTGTGCATAATGAATTGGTAAGGAGGACTTACAGGGAGGCTGCCAGTGGCTGTGTTTGCCTGCAGCCAATTTCATTTCATTTTAATTGTTTTTGAATTAAGTGTTCTGATTTGTTTTAATTAATTTTTTGTGAAAGAGGGGCAGATATTATAAGATTAGTCTTCTTTCTGCTCATTTTCATTCAAAATTTGAGATTTCATGTTTGTTTTTTCTTAACTTTATTGTTTCTTTGAATGAAATAAAATTGACAAATAAAAAAACAAATAAATAAATAGACTGTAAATAATAAACTTCTGACAAAGAAAAACGGACAGACCTGCCTACCACTGCACTTCCCTTTACTCAGGCCACTTTCAGTTGCTACCTTTAACATGTCATGATTTAATTGTGAGCCAGAGCTTTAATGAAGTTTGCACATATTCTGTTAAAAACATCTGCACTCATTTAACACTTACTGACAAAGACACGCTCCTTTACAAAGACCTTAATTAGGTGCACTGTAACATTTCTCAGTGGCACCACTTTCTGTTGTACCTTCAAACAATCACAGTTGCAAAAGTAGAAGAAAAGGAACTCGGAAATTTTCTCGTACATATATATACTGTATACTGTGTGTATATATATTAAAATATATGTTTAAAATACTTTATTGATCCCTGAAGGAAATTCTGGTTTACACTCTGTTGTTGAGGGACATGCTTCTCACACACATGGCCCTGATTCACATATGCACAAACAGCACCTGTGGAGAGATGTCAGAGCAGGGCTGCTACACACTGCTATGCAGGGAGCGCACCAGAGAAGTTGGGGGTTCGTGGCCTTGCTCATAGGCACATCAGCAGTACTCTGAAAGTGCCCTGTCATCTCTCCAGCTACCAGAACAAGTTTCCGTAATTTGGTCCACATTGGGACTTGAACCGACGACCTCTGGTTCCCAACCCAAGTCCCTACAGACACAGCTAACATATAAAACTTTGGTTTAAACGTGCATTGTTTTAGAAAATATATTCTTCAATGAGATGTTTTTTGCAAAATTTTTAAAAATAAAAATGTGTCTCAGTATCATCCACTTTTTCTTATTCTCAGACAAACAAACATAATCACTGTAGGAAGACAAATCTAACTCGTAAAAATGATCTATCTGACAATAATCTTGTGTAATTAACACCTATAATGTGATATCATGACATGTTTCATGTTGTACTTTTTACATTTCATTGAAGAAAAACTTCTTGAAAACAATGCACATGTTTAAACCAAAGCTTTATGTATTTTAAAATCTTAAGGGGGTCAAGAGTCAAGTTTGAACAGGCTTTCATGATATGATATCTGGGACTCGTATGTTGAACCACTCTGAAGAGAGAGGTCATATTTTAGCCCTGGAGCCACTATGTTATTGTTGTTTTCAACTGAAGTGTTTAATGTGACCTTTTTATTCCTGACCTCATGGCCCACAGTGCAAAGCTATGAATACAAAATCCAGCTGCCCTCTGCATAAAGAAAGATGCTGGTTATTCACAGTGAGTCATTCCTTAAAGACGACAGACACAACTCTTTGATGAAGCTTTTTGCTCATCTCTGATCTGTTTCACATACTAAAATGCTTTAGACCTCTTGGATCACTTTTAGACGACAATTAACATCAATTGTGGAAATGTTGTAGTAAACAAAAGAGTAAGACAGGAAGCACATTGTTATTGGCAGTACTTCATGGTTCATCCTCCCTGTAAAGCAAGGCTGGAGCTTTGTTTCTCATGAACACTTCACTTTCATTTACTATGCCAAGGAGATAGTCTTCAGGTTTAACCGGTTTAACCTCTCTTACAAGAACATGCTGTTTATTTTATTTCCTAATAAACATCATTGCTTGTTTAATGTAACTCTATGCTGTCTGTTTTAATATGTATATGTTGTGCAGGAAAAAAAGTTCAATGAAAAGGTATTTTCTATTCTTCAATTTAAGTCTATTCTAGTTTCATGAAATCTGACCCGCTGGCTTCATTTAAAAAAATACAGTTCACTTAGCAGACGCTTTTATCCAAAGCAATGTACATCAGAGAGTAAGTACAACACTAATCCATTCATACACTGTCATCGAAGCAGCAGAAGCAATGCGGGGTTAAGTGTCTTGCCCAAGGACACATCGAACCCTCGACCTTCACGGTTGAGAGGCGACGACTCTACCTACTGAGCCACAGCCGCCCATTTAGACCTATCATACATCAGGTTTTCGTTTAGTATTTGTTATCATGAATATTAGTATGATGTTTGTGTGTGTAAATTTATAAAACTTTATTTAGCACTTAAAACATATCCATAGTTTTCACAGGATATATACTTTCGGACGGACATTAACCACCAGGGGGCGTACGCAGCACATCACATCCTCATAGGTGAGTTTTCTGTAGAGGTGAAGCTTCACTCCTCTACCACCCTTCTCTTTGATATTTGTTATGGCCTCCGTGTAAAGGTTATGAAACACTGTAACTGATGTATTAGTTTTTCAATGAAATGGTGGCTGAACCAGATATCATACCCCTGGGTGAGTAAAAGCAAAAAGACAGGAGACTTGGGGGAGGATTCAGAGACGGGTCAAATAATGAAAAATATGAAGAAAACAAAATAAAGAAGTGAACAAGAGGGGGTGAGGAGGGAAGAGAAGACGAGATAAGAGGGAGAGGAGAGATTTAAGGGCAGAATGGAGAGGTTTACTCTGGAGAACAGCCAATCCAACACACAGCTGGAGGCCAAACAAAGCCTTCTCAGGGATGATTAGGCAGAGAGGCAATAATGTATATCCCTCTGTGTGTGTGTGTGTGTGTGTGTGTGTGTGTGTGTGTGTGTACTGATAGAGGCACTATGCTGTGGCAGAGTGGGATTATAGCCATAAATAACATTTCTTCATTTTTGTACAACACGTTTGTGGAGCCTATGGACTTTCCAATAGGCCTACCAATTCTTCTGATTACAGACTCTGAAAAATGTGCATGCTATTGTTATGATGCTCCGTTGGCTAAACTACAAATACAACACAAATATGGTGACATACAGAGTGAGTATGTTAACAATGATGTTTAGCCCAGCCCATTCCTCAGAAGGAATCCTATCCTTAAAACAAGATGAATGGAAATAAGCTACGCTATTGTTAGCTGCCTCTTTTAATGTGTTGACTCATGATGAGAATCAGACAATTCTGATGTTTAACATGAAAATACTTACATTGTGCCTAACCAGCTTTTACAAGATTAACTACAAAATAAAAAAAATTAAAAAAACATGTCAGCTGTTATGAATGAATAATGGGAAAACAATAATGGCTGAAATTTTGCTATTTGACCAACCTTAAACTGTACGCCAGCAGTGCACTCTTCTTTAGAAAGTAGCTGCTAGTTGTAGACATGACTGAAAGAAGAAACGTGTCAATACTTTGGAGGGCTAAAAGTTGATGGTATCTGATCAGAGTGTTGAGAACTTATTTAGGCTGCATCAGATTTTATACTTTTAATATCAATACTGATCTTTAGTGAAGCCACAGGGAGAAACAGCAGTGTGTGTGTGTGTGTGTGTGTGAGAGAGGAGGAGATTTTCATGGTAATTCAATAAATCAGACTCAATTTCTCCCTTTAATAAACTTTATTTAAAGATTTTTTTTCTCCAGTTGATTCTGTTAAAGTGCCGACTGAAAATCGTTCCCTTACAGCTGGCTTCATCAAAAACCGAGATTGTTCACATACAGGAGTCATTGGCCACGTACAGTACACAGGTTACCTTAAATATGATTTATACAACTGTGCCATTCACATATGGTCCCAAGATACCATAAATACTTTGTTAATATAAGTCTTATATTCTACTGCCATGGTACACATCCATTTACAATGGAAGAAAGAAAGGTGAACATTGTGCAAAGACACAAACAGGAACTCTGGATACAAGATATTCCATCGAGCTCCCATAACATTGAGAATACAGGTAATATGTAGAACAGTTAATATATTATATTACAGTAAATGCATCAGGATTTAAACAGATACAACAACCCTTTCTTCACAGTCTCGAGAAGAGAGTACATTCTCACATCCTTGTGCTCTTCTTTAAAATAAAGGAACCGGCACGGCTGCCAGAGGATTACACAGACTTCATTCTTAATCTCATCAGAAGGCCAGTCAGTCAGCCGTCTCTAAACATTCAGTCAGAAAGACTCACAATCACAGAAAGAAAACACGATAGAAATTTGCATTGCAGTCGAGGGTCAATAGGTCACATTTTACAAACACCTATAATCTATATGAAGTTCTATATGAAGGACGATGGATTGTTCTCTTTCTTTGGCTGACAAAATCACTATAAATAAACGTCCTTTAATTAAATTTACAAATGTATTACTGTGTAATACACATAGAGATACATTTACAATAAAATACCTGAATCTGCAAACAGTGGAAATTCAATAAATATCTTATATAATCAAATATCTTAACAATGTTTATAGACACACATGGGTATCACATGATTGCATGAAACAGACAACGAGCCAGCGTTTTACACGTTCAAAGTCGTCACAGACTCGGGAAAGCTGCTGACATTTTTAATCTTAATCTAAATCTTCTACGAGGAAATATTGCAGACTTTTCTGACAGGTTATCTTGCACCTCTCAGCTTGATACATTTGCTACCTATGCTGTGCACATTAGGTCATAATAAGCTTATTTCATCACACTGTTAGCCTAGAATACACAACAGATACACTCAGTGTGCCACATGCGCACACACACACACACACACGCGCGCGCACACACGCACACACAGTTTATGGGACATGTACACGGCTTATGTGCACTGAGATTAAATATAATATACAGCTGAAAGCACCAGTCATTCAATTTTGTGAAGCAAATATATGATAGAGCAGAATAGTTGTATTTTATCTTTTAAATGTATATTTCAATCATAATAATGTGTTACAAGGACCCACAAATTAGTTCAAGAAACATTGAAAACCACAAACAGGAACAGAGCCAAACACATGAAAACAAACAAACAAAAACAACCAGCTAGCAATAGCAGTAATCACATCTAGCAAATATCGCAAAATAAAATCTTTCATATATTATTCAGTTATATTTGATATCCCCAAACACGTTACACTAAACCATTCTTCTTTCAGGAGTATTGCTAATGAGGACCTCATGAAAAACCTCCAATGTGATAATCTCTGCAATGGCGAGATGGACATACGTTGTTCATATCACACTGTGACATCACAGGGCTCTTTGTCGAACCATTTCTGTAACACTGTGAGGCGTGCAGCGTACCAGGTAACTCTAAGAATGTAGCTGTAGCTACAGTCACAACAGAAGTCCAGCCCCAGAAGGATATCAAACCCAAATATTTTCTTGATCTCACTTCGGATTTACAGACAGAAATTTGTCAATTTAGGACATGGCTGCAGAAGATGGTCATAAGTGCCACAGCTGTATTGATGAGCACATAGGGTCATATTTACATCCAATAACTGGGGTCACTATGGATTATCCTACTGCGGGTCTCATCAGGTTTGTTAGAACATGTTCTTTTTTTCCCCTCAATAAAATCTCTCTCCACATCCTATCATCGAGACAGGACCTAAAATCTTCACACCAGGTAGTTTTTAAAACTAGGAATGTTAATGAACATCTGATCATATATATATATTAGAATTTTCTTCTTTAAAGGATACAATTTAAATAGTATCGTATTAGGCTGATTCTTGAATCTTTGTCTTCACTCAGGAATGATTTCAGTCTCCCTCAGACACAATTCTTTCGCTAGCTAAGGAGTTATATCCAATCCATACCAGTATATCAAAGAATAGTTTTATAATGATTTTTTTATACTATGAATCTGTGCTTTTCTCCCTATTAGTGTTTGTTCAAAAACCCACACAAGCACACACACACACACACACACACACACACACACACACACACACACACACACTACACACACACACACATTAACAGACAAACTACATTGGACGAGAAACTAGATCACACACACATTACAACACACACATACATCAGAGTGTGTTTGTTGTACCTGGAGCATTCAGATACTTATTTTTATATATACTTGGTCTATAGGAGGAACTATGCAGGACGAGCGAGTACTGAACTCACAGTGTCTCTCTCTCTCTGTTTCTCTCTCTTCCGTTGGAAAAACAGTCAGGATGCTTCAGGTAAAGATAGACGGGATGTAAAGAACCTACGTCCTGTCGTTACTCTGTCTGCAGCACTGTGAGTGTTTCACCTTGTTAAAAATACATCAGATGTAGCTCATAGTTTCACCTTCTGACCACTAGAGTGGCGCTGGTGGAGACCTCTACAGGTCTTGACCCAGCCTTTCAATCTCATCAATAAGGAAGTCGATGTCAGACTGAGTGGCAGCAGGGTTGGAGATGACCATACGGAAGAAGTTGACTTTAGTACCCTGTGGCTGGTAGCCCACCATGGTGGTCCCGGACTCCATCATCATGGCCTTGATCTTTGGCGCTACCTGTTGGGGAAAAGAGCTTCTAATTAGGGCTCTACATCCCTAATAAGAGCTTTCTCTAGCATGTATTTCACAAAATGAAACAGTGAAGCCTATGCTGAAACCCTGCATCTTTCTAATGGCCAGCAGGGGGAGACTCCAATGGTTGCAAAAAGAAGTCGTCTTGTATGAAAACAGGTGCAAAAATTACTTTGATTCTTTGTTGATTTTAGTATGCATGTTCCCTTTAAGTATATGGTCTTAATGCTCATTTAACAGTGAATTATGTTTATTTTGGAAATCATCATCCAATTTAGAATAAAATAAACTAAAAAGAGGGATCCAATGGCAGCATATATAGAGAGAACAGAAGTGGGCCAAGACTTGAACCTTGAGGTACGCCAAATGTTTTCAGTGTGAAGGGAGAATTGATATTGATATTTTATGAAGAAAAACATCTTAGGGCTGTTCAGAAATGCAAAGACTGGAATGGATATTTGTGTGCAGCCCAAGTCCCAGCAAGGACTGCTCGCACCAAAAACATTGATTGCCCTAATTTTTGCTTGTTGCTGATCTCCTTTAGGATTCCAATCCTGTATTTTAGGAAATAGGGAATGCCTCTTGGAGTGATCCTTGGTAGGTTGTTAACACATTTGCGTATTATCAAATTATCTTGACTTATCCATTCCACATCTCTTCACATTAGAAAATGCCCCCCCCCAATAATTACAAATCTAATTATTTTTTTTAGATGTTTCCATTGCTTTGCTCTCTTTGATTCAAGCGTAGGTCTCTAGAAATGTTCATTTTGAAATGTGCTTTATAAATGAGTTATTATTATTAACCTCCTGTATCTGTATCTGTCACAAGTATTGGAAAGACATTGACAGGTTTCTTACCCTGTGGAGTTTTTCTCGCCGTTCATCACCCTCAGGCATTCCTCTCAGGCCGGGCGGGATATACCAGAAACAAACATTGGTGTGCTGAGGCTGCAGACAGACAAAAACCCACAATAAACCATAGGTCACATATGGATAATTGCAATTTACAAAATTGACAAAGATTTTTTTGGGGATTATCCTTGCCAAATCGGGTTGTGTCATTATAGAACTTCAAGTATACAACATTTTCTTGAGTGACTGAAAATAACATTGATAGTCTAGAGAAGCTCACCACTCCATCGAACACCATCTGATATCCCTCCCTGTTCTTGATCTTGTTGTAGAGGTACTGGGACAGGTCCAAACACTTGTCAATGTGCTGTTCAAACCCGATGGTGCCCTGAGAGGAACATTTCTTAGTCAGCAACAGTTAGAAAATAAAAACATGACACTGATGCTACAGTGTCTGCTATTTAAACATTATGATATATCTAATTGGTTTAAAGACATTTTTGTATGTTAGTTAAAGTCATCACAACCACCAGGCCATCTCACCTTAGCCTTCCACATGAGCCAGAACTTAAAGATGTCGACGTGTCTGCCACATTGGATCGCTTTGTCCCCTGTGTCGTATGTGACATCGTACTGTTTGTCTGGTTGGAAGAGGTAACCTGCACACATGGAGTTACAGCCTGCCAGGATTCCCTACAAAAACAAAGGACACACAGTGTTAACCTTCGAACCCCTTCTTCTGCCCCATGGCGTGCAAGCACTATGTACAGCTTTCACATATTACTAGTGCTATGAAAAGCAACATTAATATGGACACATACTGCATGTAAACCTGTCTCATCAAAAGAGACGGTCCTATTATCATAACGATTCAGACAGTAGAGAATTAAAGGCAATCTTATCTGCAAAGGCTGTGTGTGTGTGTGTGTGTGTGTGTGTGTGTGTGTGTGTGTGTGTGTGTGTGTGTGTGTGTAGTGTGTTTCCTGTACCTTCTCTCTGACCAGGATGGCAGAGCACTGAAGTGGGACGCCCATCATCTTGTGAGGGTTCCACGTAACAGAGTTCGCCCTGCAGAAATGTAAAATGTGTGTTAATTTAAGGATTTCCAAATCACTGACTTTCACTTGATAACATATTTGTAACACAATATTATTATTATCACATTGCAATGATGTAAAAAAAAAGTTGTTAATCATTTTTAATGTGGTGGACATAACGTGAAGTCGAGCACAGCATGAACTACAGTCCTGACATGACACTGATGGTTTCTGATATTTTGGTTGTTGATGAAAGCAGAATGAATGGAATAAGAAAACCTGAAAACTACTGACAACACTGTCCCTGACAACACAGCTTATTTTGGCTAGAATTACAAGACTATGCAAAGAAAGGCTAATTCCTTTTACTGCAATCATAAATTATTTTTAGGTGAGGTGACCCTGTCTCATAGTTGGTATATGTGTAATGCTGTACTTGGTGGAAAAAGTATTTTTGTTATGGTATGAAAAGCTTTTAAAACTGTCTTATTTCACTGAAGTAGTTTCACTTGAGACGTTCTTCACAAACTATCAGAAACAACCTTTCTGTTCCCATTCACTCACCTCTCCACTCCATTGAGCTTGTGGCGATGCTTCCTGGACATCAGCAGTCCACCACCCCACGCTCCCTGAGGAGACATTGACACAGTATTAAAGCTACGATCCCACTATTAAAATACCACTTCAACAACTGATCCTATGTCAGGTACTCACATCAACATGGAGCCACAGGTTGTATTTCTCACAGATGTCAGCGATCTCATTGATGGGGTCAAACGCACCATACACTGTAGAACCAGCTGTGGCGTTCACAAACAGTGGAACGTAACCCTGAAGAAAAACAAATACACATCACAATCAGAGGGAAACACATGAGGATTAAATAGTGAAAGTAAATACAGAAACAAAGACAATAAGGACAAAAGAAAAATGACACTCACCTTCTGTTTGGCATCAATGATCTTGGCCTCCAGATCTGCAGGAATGACTCTCCCTCTATAAGAACATAAACAATCATACTATCAGACAAGATGAATTAGTCTCCTGATTTTCAAGACATAGTTAACACACAAAATTTAGCTCATTAACTGTATACCTTATTGCTTTTTTACTACCTTAATTTTCTTCTTTCCTGTCTGATGAAGTCATTAGTCTAAAAAGCTGCTGTTAGGCTCCTCACAGTTGCACAAATACTCACATATAACACCTATTTTAGTCTCCCTAAACTGGCTTAAATCCAGGATTTCAGGGTTTTCGCAGTGCACCTGAGTCAACTCTTAAAACTTGAGGAGTTCTTGCTCTCCAGTCGGTAGCCCCTAAGCTTTGGAAAATCTCTGAATTAACCTGAGGTAATTCATTTTTTTAATTATTTTAAAAAGAGCTAAAGCCCATCTGTTTGCAAGAATTCAAGCAGCATGTGTTGTTTTTTAAAGTGTATTATTTAATTTTTTTGATTTTAACTTGTCAGTCCAAAGTCTGTTTCCTTTGCACATATTTTCCCAGACTTTATTCTCACTATATTTTATCTTATTGATCTCTTATATGGCTTTTGTAAAGCAGTTTATATCTTGTGTCTGAAAGTTGTGATAGCTGGCTTGTTTGCTTTCAGATGTAGCTTTGAATTTCAATGTTTAGTTTTCTACCTCTCATCTGTGCTCAGGAGGATCACATTCTCTGAGCCAAAGCCCAGCGCAGCTCCAGCCTTCTTTATGGAGTAGTGGCTCTGTAGGGACAAAATCAGGAATATGATTAATCTCAGATTGAAACAAAGGAAACAAATCTTGGGATAATTTTCTAAATTGCAATTCTTTATGGACAATAGCAGATATGTTAAAAGCTAAAAGAATCATTCGCTGAATTATTATTGTTCCTATTCAATGACCTCAATCTACATCCAGTAAGGTGTGTTGCCTGCATTTTTAGAACACTAGACTGTTCTGTGTCTGTATGTGTGTGTGTTCATTGTGTGTGTGTGTGTTTACGTACATGTTCAGATGTAAAGAGGACAAGGCGAGGAGCAGCAGACATGCCCTTGGTCTTGACCTCAGGGAAGTACTTGTAGCGTGCAATCATCACACTGTACATGTTAGAGATAGCACCCCCTGTTGAGCAGAGACACAAACATCAGCACCATGGACAGCAGCTATAACACCCAGACTGATGTCTACAAAAGAAAAGCAACATTTTGACAGAAATATCAAACAGCAGGCACATCCGAATAGTTGAGTACCGAGTGCTCAGAGGAGTCCACACAGCAAAAGCTGCTCCAATTAACACTGAATGGGAATTATCACCACACATGATTCATATCTGACAAAGGACACAGCCCGAAACCTTACATGTGGTGATAATTCCCATTAAATGTTAACTGGAAAAGCAACATTTTGACCAACATGAAATAACTACTTCAATATGTCTTAGCGTTGGAAAAAAATAATAAAAAGAACACAAGATAGAACCTAATATATTTTTCAAAGTATGATAAGCTACTATTCAATACCATATGACACACCACAATGCAGTGTCATACACTTCAATGGTATAATATAATACAACACAATGTGAGACGATAGACTTCAATGCAATTTGATTCACTACATTAAAATATTATGCGATACGATACGACATAATAAAATATGATAACAGTATGAATGTATTGTCCCCTTTGTGAAATCTCTATAGGATGCTTCTCCTCAAAATGATTCTGGGTCACAAGCAGGGCAGTGCAGCCGACAGTAGGTTAATAGTTTCATGATGGGGTCATTAGGCCTCTGGTGATTCCCACCCTTCATTTGTTAATGGCTTTTGTCATTGGTGGGCTAACCTGGTGAAAAGATACCGTCTCCCTCTCCGTCGGGCCAGCCAATCATCTCTCTCATTTTCCTCAGAGTCAGCTGCTCCATCAACACAAACACTGGAGCGATCTCGTAGGTGAACCTGTCAATCACATCACAACATTCATCAATAAAGCTTGTCCATCAAAATTACTGTGACGGCAGAGCCATTAGAAAGAAGAATGAAAGAATATTTTTATGCATCACACATAAATGCAGATTAGAAAGCAGCACAGCACACATACACACTCATTGGTTTTTTCATTAGCTGTTCTATAATTCCATCCACAGAGCACAAACTGCAGCTTGTGCTGACTGAGCTAATTAAAAAGTGTCTGATAGGCAGCAAACATTCATATTCAAATGCTTCCTAAAAATCACTCAGAAGTTTAATTAAAGCGCACAAAGCTCTGATAGCTATCTGTCAATCCTGCCAATCTCTGCAGCAGGCCTGAATGGGACTGATTTGAAGGCTGAGAGGATATACGTGTGTGTGTGTGTGTGTGTGTGTGTGTGTGTGTGCGTGCGTGTGTGTGTGTGTGTGAGAAAGAGAGAGAGAGAGACAGAGTTTGTGTGTGTGTGTGTGTGAGAGAGAGAGAGAGCGAGAGAGAGAGAGAGAGAGAGAGATAGTGTGTTTTAAAGAGATAACGGCTTCTGTTGACCTAAAAAAAAAATCGGAAATTGAGGAAAACACTACAATTGTTAATTTAATTTACATCATAAAAAGGAAGAAACGTGATGAGATTATAAGGAAAAAAATATTATTTGTGAAAGACATGAGAAGCAGGAGAAACATGCCATTTGCAACTTAGAAAAAGATAGAATCCATCTTCCACATATCCCTGTGGTCTTATTAAAAGTGACACCTGCCTCCTAAGAAGCTTGCTGACAGCAAACAAGAGGTTAAAAGAGAATATCTAGAACAGAAAAAGAACAGTAAGTCTACAGCCGATGGTGTACTCGGTTCTGCTCCAATGAGAACTGGGATCAAGTTGATGGAATTAATAGCTTGTTTTCTTAGCCAACTATACTGGCTTTGTTGTTTTTTTCAAAATTGATTAATCTTCTAAGTCAAATATTTAGAATCAATGACAGACCTAATTATTTCTCCTCTCGTGTTTTAAACAATAAAAAAAACGAGTTCATCAATGGTATAAAAATACAAACTGGACTCCTAAGCTAAAGTTATCAAATGTGTCGCAGAAAGCTCAACTCTTCCATCGAGGCCTCCCACTCACACCCTCAGGACTGATCCCCGTTTGTCCCGCTCATAATGAGGCCAGTTACACAACGCTCCTCCACTCCCACCAGCAGCACCAACACCAGTACCATCTGAAACAACATTAACAGTATCTCCTCTCTTTTTTTGATTCCTCTTTGGGTCCGAAGAGGATCGAAGGACTAGTAGTTCGGCTAGAGATGCGGAGTGGGGGGCTGTAGAGAAAACAAAGCACTGAAGATAACAATGACAGAGGACAACAAAGGAAGAGGAGGGGGCGATGTAAAAGCAAAGCAAGAAAGCTATAGAGAAAATCAAACCAGACAGCAAGGCAAAAAAAGAGGCTGCAGAGAATAGGATTAAAAACGAGATTGAAAGCCGAGGTAAAGCACTGGACTAAAAGGAAAAGACAAGAAGTTAACAAGTTTATGCATCTTTCACAGAGGCAAAAGGACGACACCTGGAGGTTCCACCCGTCACATATTCTTAAAAAGAGTGAAAGATTCATCTATTTAAAAAAAAACACAAATCTTGCAAAATTGACATTTCAAGAATTTAGAGCAACTGTGATGTATGGCAGGAATGGTGTTAAGAAGGGTAAACAAATACATATTGATAGTATTGCTTTCTCTTAATCTGAAACAAACAACTGTACACAATCTGAGTTTCAGCAGCTCCTTATCTGAATAGATCCAGGGTAAGATAGAGATGTGTATGCACAGAGAAAGCATGTTAACTGATTTATCAGAGATGCAGACAAAGCTTATTGGGCTCACACCATAATGTTTTGCAACTGCAGAAATGCCAGGTTAGGAGCAGGATAATACTGGTTATTCTAGATGTAATCCTTTCCCAACAATTCCCCACAGACACACTTTATATATATATATAAAAGCACAAGGACAATACAAGGCCTTTAGTGGGTTAATTTAAAGGCTATTATATCGCAGACTTACTGTTTGGTGTCCTGATTAGGGATCTGGTTAAGGTCTAATGTGGTCCATATACAGTATAGAGATATTTCATTATAGATTCCCTCAGAGAATCATATTGCAGATATTGTCCATATATTTAACAATTACAAAAGTACCATCATATCCCATATTAACAACTTGCTTCGTGCATTTTCTCCAGTGAAGAATAGAAAGACATTGACCTAAAGCGGACGGATGAAGAGATAGGGAAGAAAAGGACATTTTTCTTGTGTAATTGTTCATGGTGGGAGCTCAGCCACAGGATGGATTTGAACGCAACATTAGCTTCTCATCAGCACAGCCGATCAGATTGTGACCGCTGGGCTTCGACTATGTTCATCCCAGGGTAAAGCCACAAAGAAGACTAAATGTCTCATTTTGAAACATCTCCCTGGCTTACATTTAGACATATTTTGTTCTGTGATTTATTAAAATGAGGCTCAAAGGAAGGAAACAAATATCCTGGATGTTTCCCTTCCATTTCATCTTCAATGACTTGTCGGTCACATCAGAAAAGGGACGAAACCAACGTGCCTTTTTAAAATTCTCCTTCATCCTGTGAGTCATTTCACGCTGTAATGACAATAATGGTGATCATTATCACAATCAGAGCCAATCATTGGTCTTTTCAGGGTGAAAATTACCCCTCAGTCACCTGCCCGTCTCTAGGGACGGCCCCTAAATGCCCTTATTATCATCATCAAGGGCACTCGATGTGTGTGATTCTGCATTTGATTGTGTGTGTGTGTGTGTGTGTGTGTGTGTGTGTGTGTGTGTGTGTGTGTGTGTCTGTTTGAGACTAAGCCTCTGACCCCTGAACACACTCTCCTCTCAGCCTCTCAAAGGAGCACTGAGTCAGTCTGGGTCCACGGGGACAATGGAGCCAGAACGAGACTCCGCAGGGAGCTGCAGAGCCAGTTTCCTCTCTGTGACAGTGTTTTCTGTGCAGCCGGGGGACATTGTGTGTCAGTGTGGGGCCCAGCTGGCCTATCTGCTAAGACCAGCTCACAATGAGCCAGCAGTCAATGGACTGGAAACACTGGCTGCTGTATCTGGGACAGCCAGAGCTGGTGTGTGTGTGTGTGTGTGTGTGTGTGTGTGTGTGTGTGTGTGTGTGTGTGTGTGTGTGTGTGTGAGAGCGCGTGTCATTATGAAAGTGTGTGAATTCAATGGCCCTGTCTCTTCGGGCATTCTGCCAACCAGGAGATGAGATGGGAAAGTTTTTCCAAAGAGGAGGGGGTGGTTTGCACAGCTAATGTTTTGAGAAATGGGATATATTAAGTGTCTCGATTTTTCTTCAGCTCTTGGTTTATTATCCTGGCATTGATCTTTTTTTTTGCGGTAGGACTCTAAGAAAGAATAGTTAGAGAATACTGAATGCTTTATTTGCGTATAGGAGGAAAGTGCATTTGCCCTTTCCACAGTACTTAATCGTGTTTGTTCCTCTTGAGGTAAACCGGTCTTACTGTCTTTGCAAAGCAAACTCTAGCCCATTTGTTGAATCCCTACGTTTAAGCCTCTGATTCTGATTGATCGGATTCTGTTATCTCACCTTCAGTCTGTAGCTTAATAATTGTCACATCCTGGGTATCCTTTCTTTTTTTTTAAAGTTATTTTTTGGGCCTTTTTACCTTTATTAGATAGGACAGCTGAAGAGGAACAGGATGTGTTGGTAGGTGATAGTAGGGGATGACATGCAGCAAAGGATCAAGGTCAGATACGAAACCCAGGGCCGGTCTGACGAGGACTATAGCCTCTGTACATGCAGCACGTGACATAAACGTAGGGCTACCGGTGCTCCCCACAGTTTACGTTTCCTGTTGTCATTTAATTTCTTTTTTTATGCACAAAAGCCAAACTGTTACAAACAGTTCAGTCAGGGTTGAGTTATTGTTGTTTTTTCAAGCAGAAATATGAAACATCCTCTATTCCAAGCTTCTTGATTGTGAAGAATTTTTGCTTTTCTTTACTAATTGAGTATTTTAAGAGTCTTTCTTGATAGAAAAATACGCATTTGAAGATGTCTCATATGATTTTTGGAAAGGGTGATGAGCAGTTTCCCTTGTTGGAAACACTTTGGGAAAAAAGGGATCCCTTCATACGATAAAGGAAACCCGACACAAGACTGCTCGACATTTTTCACTGGTTAGCCACTATAAGGATCCTAAGGATTGTTCATTTTTGGACACGCAAAATAAGACATTAAGAGATGCCTCCTTTCCTCTGAGGAAAGCTTGGTGAGCATATCTAACAATTTTTAAGTGTTAAAGACCAAATGATTCATCAATTCAATGAGAGAGTAATCCGCTGATCAAATGAGACGGACAGTAATCATTGGTTCCAGCCCTTCAGATAAGCGACGTGTAATCTCACATCGAGTCTTCACATTTTTAGAAGAGATAAAAAGAAGACATTTAAAGACATTTAGGGAAAGTTTCATGAGCAGGTTTCAATATTTTAATAATTCAATAATGGAAAAATGATCAGAGCTTTACAGTGCTGAACATTTCCTCCCCTGATTAACTCTTAAAAACCTTTTTTATACTTTTGAGATTGCTCTAAATCTGCACATAACATTTTTTTATTTTGACCTTTTCTTGTTAACTCAAATGAGGAAAGTCAACTTGAACTTGAAAATGAGTTATTTATCTGTCCCTCCACTGTGAGTGAATGGTTAACTGGTTTACCCTCAGCTTTGTGTGTTTAAGTGTGTGTGTGTGTGTGTATTCTGATATTGTCTCACGTTCTCCCAGTAATCATAACACAGAGTTACAGCTTTATTTACAGGACGTGTGTGTGAGACTTTGTGTGTATGTGTGTGTGTGTGTGTGTGTGTGTGTGTGTTCATGCCCTCTATCAGACGGGGCCACCATGTAACTGTGACCCGAGATCAATATGCAATCTAACCACCCCCGAGGCTGGGCTGCTTCCATATAGAGCACGGTACAGTGGCAGCCTGCCGTCAGTCAATACAGCGTCTCTACAGGACAAAATAAACACTTTATATACCGATAGAGAGACCCCTGTGAGTTCATATGAAAATGACTGGAGGATATTTCCAGTGGCCTACAAATAGGAAATCTCAGCTGGCCTGTCATGACATGTAGAAGTGTTTCCCTGGTATACATAATAGTTATCAGACATATTGTACATGAGCACAAATAAGGGGCATGTACTGGTTTTTATCTTATGACTTACATGTTGGTGTTAGCAGTGGAGGTGAGCCACTCTCCGGCGAGTCCAATGATGTCCAGACCAGTAGACAGCTGGTTGAAGAAACGTGGGTGACCTGAGCACAAAAATATAAACAGGAAATATCTTAATGTCCTACCTATTACCAGAGAGTGAGGGCATCATGTTTTTTATAGAGAAGACACAAGAAAGGCAGCCGCTGATAAGCTTTTGAAAACCCCTACTTAAAAAAAAGTTGTTTCTGTTCATTGGATCAGTATGAGGAACACTTTACATGCAGCACTACAGTAAATCTTGATGTGGTGATTTTAAACGGAAACAGTTTTGAGGAGGGCTAAGTCATCATGTCTGATTTTGAGCTTTCAGTTGTACTGTGATTTATTGTCCTCGAGCTTGTGTCTTGTTGTTGTTTTTTCTATCCATGTTACGAAAGAGTTCTCTTCTGAAGCCTCTGATGTATTTGTTTGTTTTAAAGGGCTGTGGATGTGGGTTTACATGCTTCACATTAAAAACATTTAATAACAATAAAACAAGTCTGTCTTGTAAAGAGTCCATAAGAACATGAATTAAGGTATATAAGGACTTAAATGTCTTGCAGGCTAAAGTTGACCATCTACATAGTAATGAGAAAAATAAAATGAACATAAAGAAGCAGTTGTTAAATAACAGTAAATTGTCCATATTTCACGTATGTATTCCCCTGGTCAGCCATGAAACCTGGGGGATCTGACATTGCAGAGTGTACCATAATTACACTGGTAACAAGGCTCTATGACAGCCAGTTAGACTCTAAGGTGCCTGCACACACCAGCACCGTCAACACGCCCCGAGCCTAAATGCAGTCATGGGTATAAGCACGGTGTGGTAGTGGTGATGTACAGCTCCCATTATAAATGTCTGAAACACAAAACCATATAGAAGCTATTACAGGTCATTTCTAATAAAAATCTTCAAATAAAAAAATATACACTAAATGTTTTGTGAATATTAAAGGAAAAGAATAGGAAAGAAAGGTTTCAGCACCAAGGACAGCTCCTTCAGTTCAACTCCACGACATTCAGGCACGGAAATGTTTTTAAGAAGCACAAGAAAAAAAACTATTCTAACATCTCGGGAGAAAAAGTGGAGTTGAGTTGTAGACACAGCGGACCCTCTGTGATTTATAAAACCCAAGGGGCAGTTTGAGCACTGTCGTTTTTAACAGCTTGAAACAGCCGTGTTAGGATCTCCTCAGGCTACACTTGCTTTAATAAGTGGATGGGGAGAGAAAAAGGGGGGATGTCAAGAGAATTACCAAGGGGACAATAAATAAAGCAGTCATTGTAATGGGCTGTACACTAACTGGAAACAGCTTCTTCTTCATTGGTTTGTGCTGAATTCCCCTCCTATTAGTATAAATCTACATAACAGTGTTACATCTGTATTAAAAATATATTATTGGAATAACCTTTGGAGATGTAAATAAAGTAGATCTAGGGTAATGATTTTCTAGTAAAATAAACAAGATTGTCTCTGGATTACAATGTGCATGACTTGCATGATTGTGATCAAATGAGACATGTTCATAGGAATCTTTGTTTGACACCTTGGGAGATTGAAATATCATAGAATGAGTGTTAAGTCATTTTCATGCTCAAGGTGAATGTACGTCTTTGTATAATAATGTTTATGATTATATGTCGGTTTGCAGATTTAAAAAGCATGTTTTGAACTCAAAGACTTTAAGGTTAACTATCCTGTAAACCATTATATTTAAAAATAACACCCCACAATATGAATAATTCAAAAGGCCCTAGCTTTTCTAATCAAATTCTCTCAGCTTTGCCTTGAAGGTACCTACCTGTCCGTACCCCGTACTTGAGCGTGTCCCTACAGTCTACCAGGATTTGCTCCAGGGACTCTGGCTGGTCGGACAGCTCCAGGTTGAAGCCCTCCATACCCTCCAGAAGCTGGTGGGGATGGTGGAAGTCCAGCACCTTAGTGGAGCGGTCAAAGGTCTTCTTCACATAGTTGGTGAGGATTTCAACAATCTCCAGCAGAAATTGTATGGTGGGCTCCTCTCCATTTTTGGCTGGCAGCAGGTCTAAGGGGTAAGGTGACCGGAAACATAGCCTGAATATAAAGCCTGGATTTGAGGCCTCTGCCTATCTACCAGAGCATTTTAATCACAAGCAGTAGACCGACTGGACTTCAGAAATTTGTGAACAATGGCCTCTCTTATCATTTTCTTATAACAAATGTAATTTTCTATATTTAGCCAGTGACCTATGTGATATCTAGTAGCCTAACTGATTATTACTCAATGTGTTTTATTAATCTAAACCTTTCATTTTACGGCGTTTTATCAGAAGAAAGGCAAGTACCTCAAATAACATATTTTTGTAAAAATATAGTTTGCAGACAAAAAAATGTTTGTGTGCAAATTCTAATCATTTGATAATGGTTAAAACTTTTATATTTCCAGTTGATAAATAAAGACAAGGTTATTAAATAGTATGGGGATCTCTGGTTACTGAAGGTTCAGCTTTCAGGAGTGATATTATTTACAGTTAAGGGATTTTTTTTCAGTTTTACTATGTTCGAAGTGAACAATAAAGATATTACAAGTTTTCCCCTTGAACTTGCTTTACGCAAAAGTATTTAATTAAGGATATCAACAGAGCTAAAGCAAAGAAACTCTATCACAACTGTAAAGAAGATTCCAAGTAGCCAAACACTTACTGTAGTGCGAGAACTTAGATAACGTGTTTTTCAATGTTACGGCTCAAAACTAATTCAAAGCCACTGAATTGACCAAACTACCACTAGGTCACAGTCTTCATCATTAAGTGGTGGTCCTTTCAAGAGTTGAAATTGTGTTTCAGAAGACAAACAATAATAAAGCATTCATCATCGAGTGAAATGATAACTAAGGTAACAGATATGTTTTCTGGATAAAGGAGGAGGCCTCAAACAGGTGATGTCATTTTAAATTGAAATAGGCTCATGAACAACATGTCTATGCAGCAGACAACGTAAATGAACATGAGCTTGTTTGGAGATCTCACCTCTAGCGAACAGGTTGGAGAAGTCGGTCTCGGTGAGGCGGAAGCGCGCGTCTCTGTCACTGTTGTCGCACGAGAGCAGGTTCTTCTGCCCCGCGAGCCTCCCCTTCTCATCCAGGCTGTTGTTCTTCTGCAGGAACCCTAGGGTGTTACACGGTGAGGAGCACGAGTTATCACCAAACACCTCCATCACAAACACGAAGAAGGACGCACTTGTGAAACCAAAATTTATTTAAAAACTGAAAAAAAAAAAAAAAGAGGAAATAAAGAATGTAAAAAAAAAAAAAATAAGAGACAGCTCCTCAAAAAATATCTGTGATGTCTGCTCTTAATGGCCTGGATTCTGTCATCAGTAATGCTTTTATGTTGGAGGCCAAACCTAGAAGGACTTTTTATGTGAGCACAGAGAGAAATAAGGGGCACGCCCCGCACTGTGACGTCGCGACCACACCCCAGTCAGGAAGCACCCATGAACTTCACAGACTGGCCGTGTCGGTGGGCAGGAAACCCCGCGGTGGTGACCCTTCCACAGCCGATAAATCCACACCGTGTAAAGAGGGGGTTAATGAAGGAAGCAGAGAGACCCACAGCAGTCTGAGCCCGCAGGGCCCGAGTGTTTTAGACCTCTATTTCTGGACGATAATGTGTCTGTGTGATGGGCTAATGTTCGGCTCTAATTGTGCGCGAAACACGTGGAAGTCACACATCATTGTTATCTGCAAGCCCATTAAACATTAACCCTCATTATTTTTCAGTGAAAAATCTCTCAATTCTCTGATCATTAAATCCTGAATTACACATTTAAAATCAATAGGCTCTGCGAGACCCTATAACTGCCACGGCCTCTGTGTAGGAATATTTCCATCCACCTTCCATTCCAGTCCATTAAAATGTCATCAAGACCAATCAAATCTATCAGTCAATTCCTCATTTTCAGAAATGAAAATTGCAAACGTGTTCGATCTTCGGATCTGAATTGATTTCTGCCTCAACAAACAGGCCTTTTTTAGTCGCCCATCTTTGCAAAGCTGCAAGAAACACATATTATGCTACCCCATGTTTTTTTTCTTGTTGTTTTTGAGGCAATAAAGAAACTCATTCCACAAAATTATAAACACAACTTCCCTTCAACATCATATCCGATTTTTTTCTTCAGTGAAACACACAGGCCTACTGTCATACAAATAAAAAATAAGCCCTTGAATTAAAAAAAAATAGGTTATATTATTATTAATGAATTGTGAAAAAAACACTTTATTTACCGGATATTTAAAGGCACACTATGTGCCTCTTAACCTAGCCTATATTTCTAGGCCTGTCTGCAGGACTTTTTCTCTTGTCGTGCTGAAATGGAGGAGACAGGGGAGGCTGAGGGGCGGTCGGGGGCGGTGAGACGGGGCTCTCATCATCAGACCTACAGGCTAATGTCCACTGACCTTTAGAAGATGGAAACACACAGTGACAGTCTGTGTGTTTGTCCTGCTCTAGCAGCCTTTATTGTGGGCCATTCCAGGCCTCCACAGTGGCTTTTTTTATTTTAAATGACAAAATGCCAAAGGAATTGAGGCACAAATTTAAATAAAAATTGAATATTATGGGGACATGTATACCATACATTGACATATGCTTCCCTAAATGTTTTGTCTTTGTGGATACATATATTGCATGTTTAAACAATATGAACGTTTTATGTGCACCGAAAACTTACCACAGATCTTCATCCCCAGTTTCCGTGTGCATCCGTGCATCCACGCGTAATCGTTTGCTAAAACAGAATGAACGTTTTGAGTTTGTGTGTGTGCAGGCCGCGGAGCAACGAGGATGGACGGTGATGGAGAAAAAGCTGCATGGTGGAGCACAGAGAGCACAGAGGATGCGAGAGACGGGCGGCTCTTGGCCAGGTGTGTGAACCCCTCAGGTTGTCTTTTGGGATATTTCTATTCACAATCTGTTTTTCATTATAGGCTTTTTCTTTTTCTGTCGGCATGTCATCCACATTTTTTATTTACCACAGTACCCACTGATCATGAGGGGATGAGTCTGATAACATTTCCGATTTAAGTTCAATCAATAGGCGCTGACAGAGGGCCGCACGGCACACACCCAGCCAAGGGGCGGAGTGGAGTTAACGCCCGTGAAATGAGCTCACGGAGGAGGGCAGGAATTAATTGAGTGAAACACAGTATGTGACTGCAGCGAGCTGCTAATGTCTGGAAGTCTAGATGCAGAAACTTATAGAACAGGGCGTCTCATAACATGCACGCACGCGCACGCACGCACACACACACACACACACACACACACACACACACACACACACACACACACACACACACACACACACACACACACAGAGATGGAGCAGAGTCAAGGCGAGTGTAGCTTTACACCTGATGGAGAACTTTCAAATCAGAAACAAGTATTTAAATTTGCTGAAGCAATTTCACTGCGAGAAAAAGAGCTCGAGGGACTGAGGCCAAGGCAAACACACGGAGACAGGCGCGCGCACGCACACACACACACACAGTACACAAGCCGCGAGGCGTGAGATGGAGCGTGGCGAAGAGATAATGGCAACATCCAGTAGCAGTATACCAGCAAGTCAGACACAACAACAACTTCTTTTTAATGGGCTGCTCCCGGTAAAAAGTCACAGCTGAAATAATTCAGGTTTCTGTACAGTTTTTTTTTTTTTTTTTTCGATCGATACCCAAGGGCCACAAATCAAAGTCTCAAAAAAATATTCAATATATGAAAATGTATTAAAAAAATGAATTGTACATCCCTCCTCGGGAACTATATTGCCTTTGACAATGGCTGAAATGAAAACCCTTAATTATTTCCCGTGTTGCGCTGCAGATGGCTGCTCAAGTGCGCAAGAATGGGCTCCATTTTGTGAATGTGACAAAGGCTCGAGATGATTAATTAACCCACAGGTTAGTTTAAATACATTTGGACTCTTTGAAGAAGAAAAAATGGCAGCAAATATTTTTATAACATCAGCTGATCTAAAGACACTACAGCATCGAGGGCCTAAACGCGTGCTGGGAAAAGAGATAAGATTAATTATGATGGGGGGGGGGGGATCATTCATTTTAATGCTCAGTTTTTTCGAGCATTTATTTGGGACGAAATCACTCAAAAAAAGTAACGGTTCAACCCAAACCCTGAAGAGTTATAAGAAGAAGAAAAAATCAGGGATTCGTTTTTAAAAATGCGTATTTATTATCACAATATACTAAAAGCCATTCCATAATTTATTAAATAACAATACTTAATAAGATGCTTTAATTGCACATTATATATCTGGGCCAGGTCGGCTGCTCGGCGCGCTCCGCTGACTCGCAGGCAGCGACAGGCAGCTGTGATGGCTCTGTTTTTAACCGGAATGATTAACGACGAAGCCCACACAGCAAATGGCCCGGGCGAGACCAGCTTTTATCAGACGGAGAAGGAGGGAGAGAGAGGCAGAGGGGGCAGACAGAGGCAGACAGAGAGGTGTGAGAGGGGGGGAAAAAGGTTTTATCCCTGGCTTTGGCGACAGATCGAGCTGCATGAGTGTCTCTGAGCAAGGCACCGATTCAATGTCACAGCCTGCGCGCTCCGGAGAATCTGCCCTCAGGGGGGGGGGCTCGATACTGGAGCACGGGGGTATTAACAGGGAGAGGAGGAGGAGGAGTGTGAGGACATACTTGTGGTCGGAGGTCTTAAATTAGCAGAGTTGGGGTCCTGGTCCCCGCCGCTGGCTCTCGGTTCAGACGTGGCCATCACTCCTCTCCTGGTGTCTGATCTCCAGCTGGGAAATAATTCAACTGCAAACAAAACGGTGCACAGTTAGAAGAGACCAGGTCAGACAATCAAATCCACAGCGACAGCCAATATGCATATCTCAATAACTGCAGTCAGCTCAAACGTGAGCCAGGATTTAAGCAGAAAAGGATATCACCTCCACCATGCGCCACCAGCAGAGATGTATCCCCGGAGGAGGAAAGCTGGGCGCACGATGAAACAAGACGCGCAATTTGGAGAGAATTGCGCACGACGCACCAGCATTACGCACACGAGGATGAATAGGTTTGGTGATAACGTAATGCCTCTGTGGGTCCATTCATTTTAGAGATAACCTTTGTTATTACTTTGAGTCGGTTTGCAATAAAATATTGTGACATTAATGTGAGGGGATTTTGTTTTATCAGTAGCACAGACTCACAGAAAATAGATGATAGCACGTTTGGGTGAGACGGTTAAATATCAGTAACTCAGACGGTAAAAAACATTTTTGATTACATTTCTGAGGCTTTAGATATGGGAGATTAAGAAAAATCGATTCACATGTTTAAATGTTAAGGAAATTAAGTAGACGACTGAAAGGTTGTTTTTTTAAATCACAGCAGATTTTTAACAAATGTGATCTCTTTAGACATTTTTGGCCAAACTGCAACTCTAATGTCCACATTCGCCATTCATCTATTGACTCAGCAATCGACATTTCAATTAAGTTGCTCTTTGAACGAGAATATCCTCCTCATCATCAGTCAATGTCATCCTGATATGAGAGACAGACTGAACAACTAATGGATTCCTTCTGTCACTCATTGTGGGGCTGCTTTTTCTCCAAGATTCTTAACAGATTTCTTCTTCTAATTGTTATGATACACTTTTATCCAAAATAAATCCAAGGTGAGGCTCTATAATTAGGACGCGCGTACAACAATGGGCTGTCTATTTCTGGAGAATCTCAAGCCTATAATTTAGGAAGGCAGAGGAGGCATCTTACCGGCTCACAGGTTGTCGAGTCCAAACTATAACTGATGTTCCAGTTGGCCCCCAAAGGCGCGACAAGCAGCACAATTAGTCCAGAGGAAGAGACAGAGGAGGAATACCAACAGAGCGCGCTAATAAAATCCCATCCAACCGCGCGCGAGTGACCCTTTCTTCTCCCTGAAGAATATTTTTTATTCGTTATTTATACGTGAGGCTCGCGCTGCCCATTGGTCTCTGTGCACGCAGGCATGAGTCACAGCCTTGCCTCCCTGTGACGACTAATGAAGCTTTCCTGACAGCCTCAAGAAGCCTAAATCGTAAGAAGGAAAAACACCAGTGACGTACACCCACCCTGCTGTGTGTGTGTGTGTGTGTGTGTGTGTGTGTGTGTGTGTGTGTGTGTGTGTGTGTGTGTGTGTGTGTGTGTGTGTGTCTCTCCAGGTGTGTGTGGGTGTCACAGGATGGAGGATGGAGACTTGAATGTGAAATGTGTTCTGATTTGGTAACATAGAAGTTGACCTTGGGAAGAAAATCAGCTGGTTTAATTAGCTTCAGTAACAGATGTATTCTGAAGTTAAACCTGTGGCTGAAGATGCTTTCATGACATTTTTCATGACTTTTCTTTCAACACAATAGAAATAACCCATTCATCCATGCAGGTACAGACTGTTAAATTCACCTTCCCCAGGTGACAACACTGCATGCATCATTTGTGACCTGCACCCTTTTTATAACCTTGACATGGACAATAACACTAGGACATCAGAGTGAGTCCAGCCTGGCGGGCGTTGACTTTGTGTCCTCTCCGTCTTCCTCCTGTCTGTGTCTGTGTCCTGGTCCACTGAACGAGCAGCGAGCAGCCATTATGTTCATTCAGTCACTGCAAATTATACCGCTTTTATCAAATGGAGCTTAGAGTTTCTCTTCTAGCAAGTCATGCGTAGATACGACATATAAAGATGAGCTCTGCCGTGTGATAATAACTCAAAATATGACAGCTGATGGCTTTTCTAAGGGATGGATAAGATGTGTGTTTTAGTGTAACCTTGAAGGTGACAATACAGTGGGTATATTATCACAGGACAAACAACATGCATATTTTTTGGCACAAAAGGTCCATCCTCATCAAGACAAATCTTTTCAACAGCCCACACCAATTCTTCCTGGATTTAAAACCTTGAACTGTATTACTCTCAGATTTATCCATTTCATAATAATGTAGAAAGATCAATAGTGACCAACCTATTTGAAGCATATACTGTATATAATACAGTGCTGGAGCCTTAAACCTGCATTTTACTTATAACCAGATGAAGGAGGCGTTATTTGTTGCAAAAATTGCATTGAACCCAAGCATTAGCCTCTGTCAATAAAAAAAGGAAGCTAATTTTGAAGTGCGAAAAATAAAACTGCAGTTCCCAGAGTGTCCACTAGAGACTGGCTTCAAAAGCCAAAGAATCCTCATTCAGTCCCATATTAAAATGTAAATATTTACAGAAAAATAAACACTTATTTAGAGCCTGAAAGTGTGCTCTATAGCACACTTCTTTATTGGCTCACAGCGTAAGGGGGGAATATTTTCACAACACATCCATTTGTCTTAAATTAAGTATAAGAGTTATACACAATTAGGGGTGTGGTTGATTTGATTGACAGGAGGATTAAGGCTGGCCTCAGCTCCAGGTCTGTTTCTAGACTGATTGAAAATGAGCTGGTGGAGATAGTATTTCCAACATGGCGAGCGCCATCACTTGGCTTCAGAAAAGCTCTTTAAGAATGGGTGATGACAATGAGACGACGTCCACATTGAATACAGTCTATGAGTGAACCAGAAGAAAAAACTGGTGATTTCTCAGTTGTCTTTTTTTTTACTTCAGTAAACATTTTCCTAACACGTTGACGGTCTCATATCTAGTTTTAAGTATTTTTCAGTAGTGACACACTTTGTAATTATGATCACAGAGTAAATAAAGCTTCAGGGTTTGGCCAGCTCGCGATTGTAAAGTTGCTATAGGGTTAACATACCAAGCAGGATAGTTTGTTTGTTAAAATTCAGAAAAATGTAGTCTTAACAGTTTGATAAAAGCAGCAAATCCTCACAGTAGAAATGTTCAAACCAGAGAATGTCTGCTTTACTCCCTGACGAATCAATTTGTTACATCAAGTCCGCAGATTGATTCTCTGGACTGACTAATCAGAGTGTCTACATGGACTTGGTTATGAGCCTCATCACCGTTATGATCATATCCAGGATATGGTGTTTACATGAACACAGAGAAACCCGGTCATTCATATCCCTGTGTACATGATAAACACTAGTCTGATTACTGCATCTTATTTGAGCAAGCGCCTATGATGTTTATTCTTTACAACAAAAACGGTGGCAATTAAGAAATCTGAGAACAATGAGACCACTGTGTCTTATTGTGGGCTTAGTGGTGGAAATGGACACATTTCACTCGGGGAACCGTCCCCGGGTTGGTTTGCGAGAATGGGGGCCGTGGAAACACATTTTTGAGGAATAAGAACTCGAATCGTTGCTTAATTTATTTAAAACAGTACGATAACACATCATAAAACAGGCTTACATACGTTACTTTGGTTGTACCTCAATTGATTTACAGCAATTGTTGTTTTGTTGATGAACACCTATACATGATGGTAGTTACAATGAAAAGTCCGACATATATTAGGCTGTGAGTTGGACTATATGGTGAGCCTGAGAGAGTTCTTTTGTTGTTTCTGGAAGATCAGAGAGCCCTCCACTCCTCTGTCTCTGCTGGGATGTTGTAGGTTGAATCTTTCTGGGCACAGAGGGGAGAGAGGGTCCTCTCCTCCTTTTCTCTTTTGATCAATCTGGCTGTAGAGAGCTGTGATGGAGATCCTGAAGTCTGTGGAGGATCGGACATTTGTGGCTGGTCAGAAGGAGCTCATCCTCCTCTCCCTCTGTTGGAGGCCCACCTCATCAGCATCCACACTAGCACAGTAAAATAAAAAATAGACCTTTTTTAATTTGTGAAGTGTAATTACTAATTTGACGTTACACGTTAACTTAGAAATAAATTCATATGTAAAGTCAGTCAAATTCAAACAGTGCTATTTGAAAGTTGTCAACACAAATGGTCTGAAGATGTTTGTCTAAACCAAAATAAGAAACCCATAATCTGATCAAAACAACATATAACCCAGAGGCCTATGTGACCTTAGACTCACCAGATCTCAGAGGTCTGTCTCTGCTCAGCTGAGGTGTGGGACCCTTCCTTTGGCAGTGGAAACAGGTTGCTTTCATTTCATTCTAGAGGAGGATAGAAAGTTTTCACTGTGAGATCTGGGTGAGATAGACAACGATGAGGTTTTGTTCTACTGTCCATTCTATCATTATCTGAGGTGTCAGCTTTTCTGTTAAATGTCTGAAGACAGTCCTCAGTTATCTATGTCAGGTGAAGACAGACTGAAGTACTTGTTCACACATAAGTAGTTTCCGATCCCTTAATTTGTAGTTAATGCCTTCGAATGTCGCAGGAGTTACACTTTATGTTCGATTGTGTTGAAAGTGATTCATGTTAAGATTTGGTCCGTCTGTGTTTGACATGTACAGTGTATCTTCTTTTCTTCACTGCTCTTGTTTGTTATGTTTTTCAGTGTTTTGTGAGATCATGTGGGCTGGCCACCCTTTCTAAAACACATGTTTTTGTTAAAAACACACAGACACACCTCCTGAGGCCGAACCCCCCTCCCTTTAAAACACCTCTCACTCTGACACAAAAGAGGGATTTAAATCTATAAATCACTTGACAGTAGTAGTTGACTTATTTCACATCCTGTTGACCTCAAGCATAAACTAGACACCAGTCACAGTCGGTTTATTTTACATCTTAGTGATTTACTTTTACCACTCTATAATGGTCTTTAATGGTCTGACATAGAAAACTCAGTGTTATTACAGAGAGGATGCAGATGTCCTTACGCAACAAACAACAGATCTACAATGTCAAACAAGTTTCACTATTCTATACATCTCTGAATCATAATCTGGTCAAATAAAAACATGACTTACTTGACTTGTGTGTGCACACATCTGACTCCGCTGATGCTGGCGGAACCAGAGGGGGGCGTGATGACGAGTCAGCCAACTTTTTGTTTCCCCCTCACAGCAGCCTGTGTCCTCCACTCAGTAACAAACACTCACAGCAGCCCAGCCTCTGAACCAGCGGGTCCCGCGAAAGAAGTGTGGAAGGATCGCGCAGAGTATTTAGATCATAAAAACGTCGCACAGCCACTGATGTCAGTGAGCCCTCTCAGTACAGCCTACCTGAAATCGCGAGATGAAAACAGCACCGTGGACGCGCTCCTATTGGCTGTAAAGGTTGTCACTTTGTTTTGTGGTGCGTTCAAGCACATTACAATATGTTCGTTTAAAAGAAGACGCTAATGCACCGGCCTACACAGCTTCATGCGAATTCCCTGATACACAAACATGAACTAGATGTATTTTAAATCGCTGTTACCTCCCGGTGTACCCCCCCCCCCTCATGTACACCCCTGAGCATTATTAAATGCCAGCATCGCGTTGCAGATATGGTGCATCCAGCTCATTTCCAGCACCGGGAGAAGAAAGCGACAGCAATTATTACACATGTCCTCACCTCTGACTTGTGTCAGCCTTTCACCGCGTAGGTCGCAAAGAGTGAAGATACGCAGTCGTGACTGGTATCGTAATAATGCTTCTTCGTTTTTGTGTAACGGAACCTGACTTGCTCCATCGTACGAGTTGGGAAACCGGCGTCCTGTAGCCACCACAGACTTCAACACGTCAGCATTTCGATGCTTCCTTCCATCTAAACTTCCAATTATATTTAATGCGTTTATTAACGAAAGACACAACTCAGTTTCTTCGTCGCTCCAGAAGTAAGACGCTCCCGTTGCCGCCATCATGTTTGTTTTGCAGATACGTCACGACTTGGCTGAGTCCGCGCCTGCGCAGGTAGTCGGAAGCTGTCACATAGCGGGGTCAGGTGGCACAGATTGTATGCCGTTCTATTTAGGTAGAAACATTGGGCTGCTCAAAATCGGGATATGGTATTATCCCAGTTTCTGACATGGTTAAGATGTTTACATCCACAACACAAAAACAGGATATTTAAAGCCCGATCCAAACCGGTATACTCATGTCCATGTAAGCGTCCAGTGGTTCTCTACCTCATTCACTTGGACAAAGATTCATCCCTTCGAGATCTTTGGCAAGTGGGATCCGCCTGATTTCAAATTTTTACTTTGATTTTTGGTGTGATTATGAATCCAGCCCTCAATGGCTGATGATTTTTGTTTCCATTGACGGTCACACTATCATATTGTTCTCAACAAACTATACAACTCACAGAAGATCTTCATCTTCAATTATTCGTTCATCAGAATCTGATATGTCACTGACTGATTGATTTATTTTATTGGTGAGATGACAAACCAGTGACATACATGACAAACAAGAAGAAATAACAAAGAGAAAATAAGAAAAATACGTAGAAAACAAAGGCAATACGGTGACACACTTAGAATACATATAACAAGGTTTCCAGTTGAGAGTAATAGTGTCGGGAGATTGATGTTGTATGGTTATATGCAGAAAATGTTTACAGAATATAGGCATGTGAGGAGTAGAGTTAAGGGAGAGCTTAAAGGTGATGGACACATTGCTCTCCTACGCAGCTGTCCTATGAACTGGATATGCAAAGGGCTTTTTTCTATTTTGAGTTAAAGGAGTGCAAAATAAAAACATTAATACAGATAAAATAAAGAAGATTTGTTTTTACAATACAATGCAGAAAGAAAATAAATGAATACTTTGAAGCAAATGTTGCAGTATATGTCGACATACAATATATAGACGTATACATTATTGTGTATTGCAACAATAACACCACTGAGCTGTGATGGAAGTGTCGGAGCAGTGTTTTTGGAGCAGTTTATTTAGTGTCCTTTGATCACTTTCAGGCCAGTTGAACAGCAGAAGGTGACAGTCTGAGTATCAAAGACTAAATTTATCCTAACTTCCCGCTACCTATGATGACGGTTTAGATACCACAGCTCACAATGCTTTTTTTTTATTTTTTTTAGATTTATTTTGGGCTTTTTGTGGCTTTAATGGAGAGATAGGACAGTGGATAGAGTTGGAAATAAGGGAGAGAGAGAGTGGGGAATGAAATGCAGGAAAGAAGCCACAGGCTGGATTTGAACCTGGGCCGCCCGCTTGGAAGACTATAGCCTCCATTAATGGGGCGCGCACACTAACCAATGCTCCACCAGCGCCCCACAGCTCACAATGCTGACCTTGATCTGAGACACACAAGGTCAAGGTCTGACTACTGGTTTAACCACTGGTTTAAGCCTCGGGCATGTTCAGTACTTTTACTGGTGATTTACCGGTATGTCTTCATTGTCGGAAGACTGTAACTAATAAAGTCTTAATTCAATTCAATTCAATTCAATTTATTTTGTATAGCGTCAACTCATAACAAGTGTTATCTCAAGACACCTTACAAAGAGCAGGTAAAATACCTTACTCTTTTTCTGTTAACATTACAAAAAGCAGGTAAAAGACCTTACTTATTGCTATGTTACAAAGACCCCACCTATCCATCATGAGCACTTTAGCAAAGCAGCAAAAGTTACAGTGGTAAGAAAAAAACTGCCTTATTAAAAGGTCTTTTAAAAGGTTATTATTAAAGTCTTTGAGTTATTGTCGCGTGTTTTTGTTAAATAATGAACTGTCATCCGACGGAGGAAAGCGTTGGTTTGAACCGAGCAGAGTGAGCTGGTCCAGAGAGTGACGCATCGTCTTTCAAAACTAACACGATGCCATCGGAAAAGATGCTGATGTAAATTAACGGAATAGGACTGCTCAATTTTGTTCAACAGATTTATGTATCATTTTCAGAAGGACACCGTTTGTGTCTGTGCACCTGCTTTTCTTCGCTATCATCATCGTCATCATCTGAGGGCGAGGAGCCGCTGGAGCTGTGAGACAACTCCTCGTCACTCCCAGAGTCATCGGAGTCATCATCATCATCATCGTCTTCCTCGCTGCTCTGCTTAGCCTCTTGCTCTGATGGGAGAATTAATGATACACATTCATGTTTTTTTTTGGTGTTTGTTTACAAATGTAGGAACTCTCACCTTCAAGCAGCTTCTTCTTGATCAGTGGGAGAAAGTTGGAGGCCTCTGGGTTTTCTGGTTCATAGATGAGAACTGGATTGAGGAGGGAAGAGACACCGTTGGCTGATTTATTGACTGACAGATATAGACAGACACACACACACACACACACACACACAGGAGACAGATGCAGGATACTCACTCATCTGACACAGTTTACAGGCCAGCTTTAAGTCTCGCTTTATCACAGCTCTGAGGAACTGAAACAAACATTTACTCTTTAATGTCAATTCATCACATTAATACAGAATATTTAAATATGCTTGCTGCCACCCTTTATTGCATCCTTAATACCTCTCATACAATGCTGAAGGCAGAATTGACAAAAGGTAAGAATGCATGGGATATTTATGGGTCGATAGGAAACAAAATGTTGCTTTAAAGCCTTTTCTCAACAGATCATGTAGTGTGGAAACACTGACAGTGATGGGTCACTTTACCTCCATTTTCAGCTCCACTGGCACCTTAATGTCTTCATCCTCGTCACCCTCTTCCCCCTCATTAGCTTGATGATGCTTGACTTCAGGGCGGACATCATGTCGCCTTCTTCCTGTCAACCATTATAATCATGATCACTGTTACTGTCAACAGCAAATAAAACTCATTCCCTCCTTCGTGTTTCTTTTTCTTTCTTTCGTGTTTGTCAATAACAACCTACCTGTTTGTGTTGAGACTGTGTTCTGTGCTGTTTTTAAGTCTTCCATTTTTAGATATGGAAAAACACTGTGGCCTGCTGTGCTTTTTCTTGAACCCTGAAATTCCAGTTGGTTTACCAGGCCTATATCTTCTATAGCTTCACAGTTCTGTTCTTTCTTTGCGAGTCAAGGTGTTTCACACCTAGTTTGTTTGCACTGGTCCAAATCATGTTGCACAATTACCTCATATTTGGTATGTGTTTAAACACAGACAATTACAAGCTGAGCAAAATGTGTCACGCACAAGAAGAATGTTGTCTAACTAATTCAAAGAAGAAAAAAAATCCCCAAAGAAAACCAAGACTCCTGCCTGGCTGAACCCAAAGCTCCAAAGACACTTTCCAATTTCAAAATAGACAGACAACTACACAGTCTACACTGATTGATGTTGGCTTTGGTCATCAGTTTTCCCTTTGTTTCTGAGGAAGTTGGTAAAAAAGCTTTTAAAAAGCACTTATTTAAAAATGTTTTGTTTTCTCGTCTTCAAACTGATTGTGTATGTTTTAAGTAACGTCAACACTGTTAATGTTTATTTTTCTCTGTGTATAGACTGAGCCTCTCTCCTCTAAGGTATCTAGTCTGGAGTTGTAGTTTAGTGTTGTATTTATTGTCTTTGTGTTGTCCCTCGATTTGTTGTTGTTGCTGTTGTTTTTTGTTGTTTGTATTTTTTTTGCCTGTTTTGTCTGTTCTGTGTTATGTTTTGTCTTTGTTGTACTCTTGTCTTTGTAAATGTCTGTTTGGGACCCCCTTGAAAAGGAGGTGATACACCTCATGGTGCTTATCCTACTATAATAAGTACATTTCAAATTCATTCATCACTGTAGGCAAAAGTTACAGTTTAAAAATGAAGCGCAACTGTGGCTCCAAATGAATATGTTGATGTGCTGGAGTCTTCGAAGGCGCTTATCAAGACAGTTCAGGAGAAGGCCCACGATAATCCTCCTGAACCATGACCTGCTCATCCACCAACCTCTGAAGATGTGTCAGGTGTGTCTGTGGTCTTTAATACATGTTCAGCAATGATGAATAGAGAGGGTCCTGGTTACTGTAGCTGGTGTAATCCTTAAAAGCCGAATGCTTCTTTTAGTCAGGTCGGATCGAGGATGGTTCATGTTCTTACTACAAACGAACTGCATTCCAGTCCTAAAAAAAAGAACAACGGTCCAAACAAGGCTTGGCAAAGGACTCGATGTCGTTTTAACGAAACCAAACAGGTAAGGTGTGGTAATACCCCAAGACAATGTGTTTTTTGTTTAAAGATTCTAATGAACAAGCACAATCATGTATATGTATGGAGCAGTTGACATCTATGAAAGGATGTGACTCTTATCATGTTAGGACAAGTGTAACATTCCTTATGATTTGCATTGCATATTCGTATTCTGAGACTTCTTTCCATGTCTTCATATTAAGAAACAGATGTTCCCTTGCAGAATATGCAGTATATCACTAAGTGAAAGAGTATAAGTGAGATTCGTTTTCCTTTCACCACCACATACCATCTTCATTCAGCATGTCCCCACTTGGCAACTCAGATTTTTGACCTTTGTGGCGAGAAACCTTAAGAACAGAGAAAATGAATACAGTACTACATCAAACCGTGTTTCTTTCATTCTAGTTTTGAAGACGTTTATCTCAAAATTCTCACCTGCACAGAACAAGGTGGAGCAGGAGGACTCCTGCTTGATGAAAGAAGTCAAATTAAGGATACAAAAAGTTTGTTGTCCATGTTGTGTTATTAAAGAAATTAATATTTTCTCTGATATGACTTTACTTACCAAAGTTTATCAGGGCCTGCCTTCCCCCCAACTTTGTCTAGAATGTAATCATAATATTTCCTTGATATTAAACAAGCAACATAAGAAATTAAATCACATAATTGGATAATTTGTCTGAATATGATGTTTTCAATACTGACTTGGAGTCTTAATAGCTTCTTACCAATGTTTTTGGGCTTCTCATTATGAGAAGAGGTGACTTCTGCTGACTACATCCAGGTAGTAGAGATGGGGAAAAAAATATATTAAATGTCAACGGGGAAACATCAAGTTGAAGAGTGCATACATGGATAATGCATTTACATCAAAGAAATCAGAAATAAAATTTAAAAATGATTTTTATTTTACCTTCTTCTGTGAACCAGTGAAGGACTTCCCCAAACACTCTAACCTTCACAGGAAATAACAGCACTATTTATTAGTGAGGCTCCATTCACATTTTAACAGGTTTACAAAGTGTGACCTTATTCTTACAGTATTCCTTTTTAGACTATTTAACTATTTGAGCTTTTCAGTCTTTAAGTATATATGAATTCAATTGGTTTGCTGATATAATAGATACTCCGTCATTAGCTTGTTGTGTAGCTTAGATTAACAGGCGGCTAAATACATTGTAACTGTTAGCATCCTGAACTCATGTTTACTTATCTCCTAGTAAACTAACCGCTGCTCACCTGCTCATGGTGGAATATGAAGAAATTGCAACCTCAGATTAGAGTTAAAGCACCTATAAAACTCCACTGTGCTTTAAAACGAGGTTGTCTCGTTTGATAATAAGATAACAAAAGCTAGAAGCGACCAGACGACTGTACCATGTAAGTTTACGGTCGTGACCATAGCAACAGAAGAACGCTGAGTCCGTGGTGCCTTCAAGTGCTGCCGGAATTGTGTGCTTGGAAAAAACGTATTTAAATTAATTGAATTTAAGGATATGGTCATCTTGTCAGCTTATTGAAGCACTGATAGAGTTCGGTATATTTTCTTTTTATAAAGATAATAATGTGTTTCTGTTCTCATGGCCATGGGCTGTTTAACTTTTAATTATCCCATTAGGCTATATAGTAAAGTTTTTTTTTTTCAAACGTGTAATAATGTGTCATTTGAAAATTAACATGATATTTGTCAGTATTATGCTTCCTATTTCCCCTTCAGTTTGTAACTTCAGTGTAGACCTGTTTGTCCTTTGAAAGAAAAAATGCACAAAAAAGGGTCATGTATCATAATGCAGCACTTAAGCTCAGAAAAAAAAAGGTTTGAATGGCTTTTCTTCAAAGCCCTTCTTGCACAGAGCTTAAGTGCCTCTGCCCACCCTCCATGTCGGCCATATTTCATCCAATAAGTAGCTGTTACTGCTACATTAGCTGTGCATGCATCGAATGAGCTGCCTTCAGTCTGGAATCTGCATTAGTGTGTGTGTGTGTGTGTGTGTGTGTGTGTGTGCGTGCGTGTGTGCGTGTGTGTGTGTGTGTGTGTCTGGGTAATAGGTTCCACTCAGCACTTATTGTTTCACGGCTGTCTTTTAAACTCAGGGAGATTTAAACTGACGGTCAGACTGTCAGGCTGAAGACTTTCCACAGAGAACAAATAAGCTCCTGACTGACAGGCGTGTTTTTGTGCTGACAGAGTTTGAAGGACTGTTTAGGAAGCTCAGGTTAGTTTGGGCTGTTAAATGTGCATGTCTTCTCTTAACCTCCCACTTTTTCGACACAGTCACATACGGGAATACACAGCAATTAGGCAATGCAGTGAACGTTCTCAGACTGAGTCCTCCTTCTCAAGCAGAGCAAAATGACACAAATGTGTGTTTTGAGTAAGTGTGGGCATGCTTCTATGCAGACTGTTTTTCACAACAATATAAAAAGGAGAGGATCTGATCTTATCTGAAAGTTTGCCTTTTCTAATTGTATTTTTTTCAGTACAACATTTGACCTTAAGACTTCAGTTGCACAGAATTCATGTTTCCTGTGACATTTCTCTCAACTTCGAGATTGTGGTGGAATTTCTGTAGTTATTTAGATTATAATGTACAGACGTCATTATGTTTATTCACTGTTCTCTAGTGTCAGTCAGACCTGACAGAGTTCAGCTGTTATTAGAACACCAAGTACAGCGAGTACTCGAGAGTGTCAACTGTTCTTCCTGATATCTGTAAGGATGTTTGGTAGACTTATTGTCTGCTCCAGTGTAACTGATGTCACAGATTAGTCTAGGTGGGTCAATGTGACACCAACCTGATAATGGTAATGTCTTTTAGGATATATGCGATGCCTTTTGAAAAGTTGGGCAGATGTGATTGAGCAAGACACGAGTACAGAAGTGTGATGTTGAATCATGTCTCCTCATGAGTATTCTTCTTATTTATAAACTTTCATCAACGTAAGCCATCTGAGTCTTATTGTGTGGAGTCAAGTCATTTCCTCAACAGAGATGACTACATTATATATGCAGTTTGTTTTAATTTAACAATTTTAGTCAGCACCATTCCAACTAATTTAAGGTCCCATTGATCCTGTATTCATTGATATGTGCACTTCACGTACAGTCAACCAGATACATTCTTCCTTGTTTCATAAGAAAAATTAACAGAATTAACAAGGTAACTTGTCCCAGCTTGCCCCCCCCCCCCAACGCTGTAAACCTAGGGGAAACACTAATTGTAGGCTATAAGCCACATGACTCATTAAGCCCCGCCCACTTCAAACCATGAAAACAGTCAATACAAAAACATAGAAAATACTAAAATCCCTCTTGTGAAATTACACAGACTGTTGTAACTTTGGAGGAAAATGTTGACGTTATAGGCTTTCGAATTACATAGCTAAAATCAAGACTGTGTTCAGTAAAACGGGTTGAAACTACAGATTACAATAAATAGACAAATAAAGATTCTTCCCTTAACTGAATCTGTTGATGTAAAATGTCAAACTCCAAGGTGAGACTTGCAAAAGCTGCAAAAGCTGCTCTGACACTGTCACCTTGTTTTTATGGAGACCCAACTCCACCCGCCTAACACCAGACGGACGGGGAGAGAGCCACAAAATGAAACACACACACACACACACACACACACACTACACAAGCTGCACCCGCAGCCCATCAGGCACACCTGCCAGAGAGGCTGGATGGGAAAATATATTCCACACAGACGACATGATAACAGAATCATTTCACACTCCAGTGATCCTCTGCTCACTCTCTGTGTGTATGTGTGAGCCCATCTATGTGTGTGTGTGCGTGTGTGTGTAGTTTGCTGTTGGGTTGTGTGTGCTCTTGAGAGACTCTGCTCCTCACAAATTTCCATATGATGAGCCCTGAGGCCGTCACAGTGCGGGACAGAGGACAGGGAGACACATCACAGAGCTTCAGGACATCACAACGTCGTGCGTCAGGCGTGTGTTTCTGTGATTGAACGCCGCTGAACATACTGTTCCCAGTGCAGCATCGTTAACAGGGATCAGCGTTAACAAAACGAAGCAGCGTCGGGCTGTCATAATGACTTCATCACAGACGTGGGCGTGTGTTCTCTCCTCTCCATAAGTTTGTCGTTGTTGCGTTTTTGTGTCCTCGTGCTCATGTGTTCATGAAGCATCTGCGCAGGTCCATCAGTGGCTGTGTATTAGCGTCCTCATGCCTCGCAGGCTCTGGCAGGCTGGAGGCTAATAATAAATGCAAATTACAATCAGAGGAGCAGATCGGACCTGGAGAGGATAATTGCTCAATTATGGTCGTATGTGAGTGTGTGGGGGTGTGTGCTTGTGTGTGAGAGTACGGAGGATATGTTTTTCTTGTATAACATACAGAGAAAAAGATGAGATGGAGAGATGAAAAAAAGAGAGAAAGATGTGGGGAGAGAAGAAGACAGGGAGAGACAGACATAAAAGAGAGAGCGCGTAAGAGAGAGAGAGAGAGAGACAGTCAAAAAAAATTGAAGAGAGAGAGAGATGTAAAGGGAGAGGGAGAAAAGAGATATCAAGAAACAGAGAAAGTCATCAGAGACAGACAGACAGCATAAGGCAGGTGCTGACGTCACAGTCAGAGTACATAACAGGGCATTTGAGGTGTCACATGTATTGATTTATCTGTTGGACAAATTTCTACTTTTCCTGTACGATGGCCAAGTGGGGCTAATTAAATTGTGTGATGTAACCATCACAAATCAAAACAGAGAAACAAAGACCTAATTACCAAGCTGCTCCACCATGTGGCTGTCAGTGTTTGAAATCCAAAACTGTGTCAATAAATCTGCAAATTCAAGGTCGTCCACGGAGAAGCTTCTCTTTGAAACGTCACCATTTTCTCTCATTTGTTAAGATCCTAGTTAGCCTTACACGTAAAGAGGCGAGAAGTTCTTTGAGGTCCGAACACACCAGAGTCAAAAAACAAAACAAATTCAATTCAACTAATGACAGCAGCTCACAAACAGAGTTTAAACAAAACTGAAAAAATAAGCAACATATGGACGCCCCTTTTAGCCAGGACTAAGACTAAAGTTAAAAATATAGCCTTTATGATGTGTATCTCCTTAATTTTAAACATGCACATGAGATATAACGTCATATTATGAGATCACAGTTAAGTACAAAATTCCAAAATAAAAAAGCAGACTGTTGAGAATATCAAAACATCAGAGAAAAGTTTGGAAATTATGAGATACATAGATTGAATTGTAAGAAAATACATTCAACTTTTGAGATAAAAGTTGAGATTAAGGGATAAAAAGGTGTTATCTTTGGAAATGGACCTTTTAAACCTTTTAAAATCAAAACAGATGAGCTATAAAAGAAAAAAAAACATACAGTGTGTAATTGGTAAACAGAATGGATTAGAGCTTGTATTGCGTGTTCCTATAGCTGACGACTTAAAGCGCTTTCTACACCTCAGTACAAACCTACCCATTCACACACTGATGGCAGAGGTTTTTCCCGGTCTCTTGGAGCCAGTCTCCAGCAGGCACTGGAAGAACTGCAGTTTTTTGCTCTTCCACATTGGCTTCAGACAACAGACATTGCCGCTTAGATCTATCATGTCTGTTTTTGTCTGTGCTGTGAAACAGACAGCTTAGCTCTCTAACAAGGCTCCTGTACTGCACAGTGCAGATATAACCCACATTATCATATTAGCGATTTAAAGCTACAGCGTCAGGAATAACGAGTAAAACAACAGTAAGAAGGTATGTTTTGCTATTTGCGCATTTGGACGGAATTACTGTAAAATGAGCATGTGCAATGAGAAATGACCTTTTTTATGGCAATTTACTTAAGTTTCATTACTGTAAATCACCATTTTATTTGAGCCTTCGTCCCAGTTGCTTAGTGTACATATGTAATGTGTCGCACAGGGGAAAAAAACAACATATAGCAACGTGCATTACCAGCTTTTTGAAAAAGCTGTCACAAAATCAGGGTGATAAGGCAACAAACATGGGTTAATATTGACAAAGTAAAAAAGAGTGACAACCAAGCCCGGTCTCCCCTATACTGATTTGATACACACAAACACGGAGTAGTGACACACGCTGTAGTGACACATCAGTTGTTTTCATTAGTTCTATTAAATCACTCACTTGTTTGAGTTCTCGTACCAGCAGCCAAAGGGTCTCACTGCTAATCTTTATATCATTACACATGCTTTGCTTTTAATGAAATGTGTTTAAGAGGATGACTCCTGCCTCTGGGCACTGTGTGTGTTTGTGTGTGTGTGTGTGTGTGTGTGTGTGTGTATGTATCATCATCAGTATCTTGACTTGACTTGGTAAGCACTCTTTTCTCTTTCACTCCTTTTTCTCTGCCACACAGCTCAGTGATG